AAAAAATGAAATCAGAATCAACTTTTTAGCTTTAGTACTTTTTGAGCTGCGAATTTTTAACATGCAAGTTCCTTTGGTATTTTCTACTATGACAAAGCATCCACATTTTGTGAACTCATTCTGCTAACTGCATCATGTGCAATGACTATGTAGTTTATATAAGTATAAGGCAAAGCATCCCCTCATTACTTAAATACTATTTAGGGATTACTTATTTTGAACTTTCAACTTTGGCACGTGACTATTTAATTAATGCTTTCCCTGACCAATGGTTTAATAGTTTTTGCACATGGCAAACTCTTATGAGTGAAACTCTAAGGCAGTACTACACATAGCCATTTTGCAAGTGACCGTGAATGGCTGCCAATGACAACGTTTTGCACTCGGCAAATTATCATCATTTACAATATGGACTCTACCGGGTTTTTAAACCTCAAACTAAAACATATTCATTTAAATTAATTCTAGGTTCATTCTTAAACACAAGTCCTGTATTTTGAGAAATAAATAATTATTTTTAATTATGCAAAACTTGTTTATTTGTTGTTTGCTATTTCTTCTTGCGGAGTTCAAAAGCTGGCAATTGGTCTTGGGGATTGTTATTACTAAGGTCAAGTGGCAAATATGCCTCCCTTTTGTGCTCGAGATATTAGGACTCTGCAACATAAAAGAATCGACATAACCGAGGCGAAAATGCAAAGACAAAGAGTAGAGAGAATTTGGCGGTTCCAAGTCAAAAGCGTTGACTTAACAGGGTTGGCAAGTTAACCCAGGTCGAGATAAGTGGGTTTGACTGTATTATAATTATGGGTGGTAAAGTAATAATTTTAATAATAATAATAGGATAATAATTTTTAAATAAAAAGTTTCATGTATAATTTATACATTTTATATGATAATCAGCTAAAAAATGATTATTTATTATTTTAAATAACATTATTAATATTTTAAAATATTTATAATTTATAGGCCTACTTACACATTACTAATTTCTTATACAGACCCCGCCTACTACTACTACTTACTACTTAGACTAGGCTACAAACAATAATTAATAGTTAATAGCTTTAACTTTAATTGTCTTTAATAACATAAATAATGACTATGACTATGACATACTACTACTGTAATACTGACAATGACAAAAAATAGTAACAATCCACCAACTTTAATCCAAACTAATTTAGCCACAGCATCAGTGAAAGGTTTTTTCAAAGATCCAGGTATCCGATCCATTCGTGATCACGGTTTTCTATCCCATATTATTGTCATGAGTCATGGTTCTCCATACACTTGAGTTTGAAATTTGGGCAGCGACTTTTGAAACGGAAACAAGCCATTCCGTTGCTAAGGAAAATAATAATTATTGGTATGGATAGTGTGCTATAGTCACAGGAAATAGTGTGTAGACCTGAATGGTATTTAAATAGTTTTTAAAAATAAAAAAAAAAAATAATACCCTAATAATTTATAAATTAAAAAAATTAAAACAAAATCAACATAATTTTAATTTTTTAGCATTCATTTAAGCAGTTTTAATCAGTTCAATGCGTTATTGAATGGAAACTGTGTTACTTTATTATAATAAAGGCTACAATCAGATGACTCTTCACGCCCAATAGACCTTCAGGAAGAGTAACTGTGTTACCACTTCTACCAAAAGTTTCCTTAGAAACTAAATAAATATGATTCTTGTTAATTATGACTACATGATCCTAACTCAGTTTTTAAATTTAAAGCTAAAATCTCACTTTTAGAATACTCAGTCATTTCAGAAATGGAAAGCCCACGTAACGGCAGTGTTTCCAGAAATTCGACGGAAAGAATGTCACTTCAAGAATACCAAGACCAACAAAATGACCAACACATTCTATGTGAATATGACAAGGATTCTGACTCTATTATTTCTAATTTAAATCAATTAAATCAAAACTTGGTGGAGTCGTCCGTTTTAATTGAAAGTAATGTGCAAGATTTAGATGAGGTGGAATTATTGATCCATACTGATCAATTGAAAGGAGAAACCTTGAGAAAATCAGGTATGCCCAACTTCTTTAAGACTAAGATGCTTAAATTTAAGTTAGCGTTAGAATTAAAGTTAGATACAAAAAATATATGTAATTATGGTAAATTGATAATTAATATTAATGTAATCTATATAGATAAGTCATTTTTGAGTATAAAATCATCAAATGATATTAATAATATTTTTTTAAAGATACACCCGAGACAGTGCTTACAGATCACATTAACGATCCGGATATAACAATCCTGTGTGAAAGATGTTCTCTTTATCTAAACATCCGTAACTTACCTTATCACAGATCATATCACAATGCCTTGTCTACTTTGTTCTACAAGCACCCTCAGAAACCTTCTGATGTTAAATCTCTGTTTCAACGAAGAAACTTGGTCATTAAAAAACTCACTTGTGAGGCAACAGCTGAAAATCCACTCACTCTGCAAGTAGTACAGAGAATAAATGAAGCATATGAACTTTTAAAAAATGATTTAGAAGATGAATGCTCTGAATTGTTTCAAATTCCAGGCAATATAGATAACAATGTGGAGAGTGTTTCTCTTTACAGTAGCCCAGAGTGTATTTATGCTGTGGGAATTAGCAGCAGTAAAAATAAAGCCTGGAGAGCTGAAATGGAGGATGTAAAAGTTTACCAGGATTACTTTGGAGAAAACAAACATAAATGCTACCTGGCAATATTTGATGGATACCATGGCAGTAATGCAGCCCAGAAATCTGGCCATGAGCTGCATCACTTGTTGCTATCCGAAATGTGTAAGTTTGACTCTAGTATCAAGTCTACCACACCACGAAACTTTGCTGAGTCAATGCAGACGAGGGAAGAGTATGAGTTTCAGAGACCAGAGACTAGAGGCAGTGTCAGGGTTGACTTACATCAAAAAAGTACAGTTTTTGTTCAGGTACTTCTTGTATATCTACTATATCTACCAAGATCTTACTTTCCTTGTCAGATACTGCATAACAGGGGGGGGGGGCCTCAAACTCATTTGTGTGCCATTGGAGTGGAATTGTAAGTTGTTGTAGTTTTATCTGTTTAGATACTGGAAGTTAATTCTTGCTAAACAACTGCACTAAAATATAATTTGTGTATAAAAAGTCTCAAGTTTCAGGAAAACGGTTGCACCTAACACATCGATTTACCCCATGTTATGTATCTCATGGAAACATAATTATATCTGGACAATATCTCAACTCATTATCATGGAGCTTAAAAGAAACAACCACTAACTAACTATATACTTGACACATCTGTGCCTGATAAACATACTTTGTCAAAAGGTTTCTTGGTCAAATATATTATTTCTCAGCACAAAGCTAGTTTGCATGATCTATCTTATAGGTCTATCTCGTCATACACCCCTGATGGTGATATTTATAAAACATTAGTTATTCTGTCACTCACCTTTCATAAAATCAGCTTCCAAATGCATGGCTGAACCCAAGCTTAATCTCTCATTATCAAAATAGAGATGACATACACAATTAAATGTTTACAGTGGTTATGATATCTGGACACAAGGCTTTATGTCAGCAGGTTTGAGTGGAATTAGTAAGCCTGCAGTTTTAAAGTGTTCTTAAGCTGTGCTATTTTAGTGGACTCATCACACCGTGATTTTGATTTTATTTTCTCAATCAGGGTTATATGCAGAATGAATTATTTGATGGCAAAATTTGATCTGATTCTAGGAAATTTTAGATTCCTGCTACAAGAAATATGATGCGATGATGAACAAAAATGAAGATGCTCAGGAAAAGTCAAACAAGAAGAAAAAAAGTGGCCATCCTTTTCTTGAGAACATGAAAAAGGTAATGATCTGGATGTTGTAATTTAAAAACTGACAAACATACAACTACTTTAAATTTATAGGTTTTTAAAACATCTGGCAATGATTTGTTTTGTGTGTTTTTCTGTTTTTTTTTGCATAATAGAGGAAGAGAACAATTTCATGATCTAATTATAAAAAATATGATATTAAATCATTTAGAGGGACATGTGTGTACTTTCAGTCATGATGCTATTAGTATGTTGCAGCTTTATGTAACGGTAGGTTCTCATTGTCACTAAAGGAGTTCATTTATGGCTGATTTCTACACTAGAAAAATACTTTATGTTTATATTGTTATAATTGTAAAATGTCGTCTTTGTTAAAAATATGTATTTATTTATGTGCTGAAAATGAATATGTGCAAAGTAATCAAAAGGCATTTCCATTTATTTGGATCAATAAAGAATCTTATCTTTTTTTATTTTTTTCACATCTTATCTGATCTTGAATAAGTACTAACATTATTTTCAAAATATTAATAAAGTTTTAGCTGAGCACTAGAGAGTATTTCATTTTAAAGATTTTTATTCCAAGGCGTTCAAGAAAACTTACCTGTTGATGGACATACTCCTGGCCTATGGCAAAGATGAAAGGTCGAAGTTCAGGTGGAGTGGTACTTCAGCCTTGACGATTGTCATTCAGGACACGATTGATAAGTCAGAAAAGGTTCTCTTTGGGCAAGAAGACCCTCCACCACATGGCAGGGACACAGAAGAAAACATCAGAGAAAATGAGCTTGGTGTAATCTATGTCGCCAACGCTGGTAATTCTGTCTTCTCATCATCCATTGGGATGGACTGCATTATGTGTTATTTAAATAAATGTTTTCACAAATTATTTTTTTTTAGTTCAAGTTAAAAACTTTTACTGATAATGTTAGATTTTACACATTTCTAAAATAAATTTCTACTACAACATAATTCTTTAAGATTGCATTTTTTTTTCTTTCTGAGAAAAAATACTCTTAAAGAAACATTTTCACAAGATTCGCAGCTCTTTAAAAAAAATTTTTTTGTATCTAACTTAAATTATCTAACATTTTTCTTTTTGACTTCCCAATGTTTAAATTAAATTATTACCAATCTACTGTGGACAGATTCTATTTCAAGGCTTTTTCCCTCAGCCAGGCAGCTCTAGAGCTTTGCTTGTGAAAAACAACACAGCGCATCGACTTTCTAGAGACCACACAAGCAACAGCAGGAAAGAAAGGGAAAGGATTCACAAGTGTGGTAGGTTGGAATAAGTACTTCAAATATTTGGAATACATTTAAATTGAATTGTGCTTGTCATTGAAGGTGAATCTTAAGTTCTGTGATGTAGTTCTGTAGGAACAATATTGAAGTAATTATAGTGTATGTAATTATAGCAGATGAGTAGGATCTGTTAGTTGAAGAGGAATAATGAATTAAAAATTGATATATAATCTATGTCTAGTGCTTATGCATTACATGAATTTCTACAATTTCTAGATTTAAATGGTCCCATATATGTCTAGATTTAAATGGTCCCATATATGTCTAGATTTAAATGGTCCCATGTATGTCTAGATTTAAATGGTCCCATATATGTCTAGATTTAAATGGTCCCATGTATGTCTAGATTTAAATGGTCCCATGTATGTCTAGATTTAAAAGGTGTAAAAATAGTTTAACAAGATTTACTTTGCGGTTCATTGTTATGTAAACACAAACTTGTTTTTTTATCCAAGGGGGAAACTTCAGTGTCAGTGAAAAACAGTCCTGTGTCAATGGCATCTCTTTTGTTACACGAGGACTTGGTAACCACGGTGACACTTCCCTGAAGGAATGCATCATTTCTGAACCGCACGTAACAACGGTGGCCATTGATCAAGAGGCCCAGTTTCTGGTTGCGGCATCATGGGGCGTCTGGGAGGTGTTCTCTGATGAGGAGGTGGTTGCTCTGTTAACCAAGGTACTCCACAAAAAGTTACCTTTGATGACCTTGGTTGTTTTGCTCAGAGGTTGGCACTATGTTTTTGAGGGTGCACCTCTACTCTCATTACAGCATTTATTGTATTTTGTACAGCAAATCTCATTCTATGGGAGATTATATAGTGTATTTTGTTTGACTATAGAATCCCAGGCACAGAAACATTGCAAATCCCTCTACATGCATGGGAGCCAAAATGATCAATAGATTGTTCGTGGGCCCTTAATATATAGAAGTAGAAGAAAAACTAATAAAATGCTGGTTACATTATTAAATTGTGAAAAATCATTAACTCTTTTTGATGATTTGAGCTAAAAAAAATGTATGGCATCTTTCCGTCTGTGGGAGACGATAGATTATCTTTATTGCTTGCAGCTCTTGGTGTGGCTGGTGAGACCAATCCTCGAATGGCAGTTTCTGTTACATTTCCCACACACGAATGCAGTGGAGCAGTATTTACCGGCCTTCCTCCTCGCTCTTTTTGCAGCTGTTTCCGCCCTGTTTTGATCCTCGGCATGTAGTGATCCTGCCTTCACGATGCCCCGCCATGAGGATTGATCCTGTGGGTTACTTCTTGTGATAATGTATTGGGGGACTCAATGTATGGCTTAAATACAGCATACCTTAAAATATTCAGCTGCTATGCAAATACGAAAGCATATTTTGAGTTGACCATCAGGATGTTAATGCAGTTTTTATATCATGTTCAGAACCCCAAAGCCTTGAGTCAGTATGTGGGATCCATAATGTTTGTCCTTATCATACAGTGTTTCCTCCCTACTGTATTGACGGCACAAGCCTTGGTCTCTGTATATGTATTTCTGTGGGTTTGTCCTTATCATACAGTGTTTCCTCCCTACTGTATTGACTGCACAAGCCTTGGTCTCTGTACATGTTTGTCCTTATCATACAGTGTTTCCTCCCTACTGTATTGACTGCACAAGCCTTGGTCTCTGTAGATGTTTGTCCTTATCATACAGTGTTTCCTCCCTACTGTATTGACTGCACAAGCCTTGGTCTCTGTAGATGTTTGTCCTTATCATACAGTGTTTCCTCCCTACTGTATTGACGGCACAAGCCTTGGTCTCTGTAGATGTTTGTCCTTATCATACAGTGTTTCCTCCCTACTGTATTGACTGCACAAGCCTTGGTCTCTGTAGATGTTTGTCCTTATCATACAGTGTTTCCTCCCTACTGTATTGACTGCACAAGCCTTGGTCTCTGTAGATGTTTGTCCTTATCATACAGTGTTTCCTCCCTACTGTATTGACTGCACAAGCCTTGGTCTCTGTACATGTTTGTCCTTATCATACAGTGTTTCCTCCCTACTGTATTGACTGCACAAGCCTTGGTCTCTGTATATGTATTTCTGTGGTATGCTTTTCCTCAGTTGTTGCCAGGGCAACATGTGCCGCCACCCAGTAGGCTGAGTGAATCTCTTGGTGTCCTTCTCCGCCCCATGAACGATGGCCGTCAAGGTAAAGCTGACCATTCAACCCCGCCCGCTGGTCAGGTGGACCTGGAAATAAAAAGTGGGGTCAGACTGGGAAGAAATGTGCCCGACTTGTCAGGTCAGTAGAACTGTTGGGTCAGCTGATACTGGTTTACTAAGGACTGTTGGAGTCATCACGTTTTTCCACTAGAAGGTGAAAGTCTCAGCTGTCCTTGACCTAATTTACTCTATATTTAACCCATCATCTTTGATTTGACCACATACTCAGAGATTTAGTTTATTCTGTGGGACCAAGTTTTTTTTTCAGTCCCTGTTTGTGTGCTGGCCTTATGTGTGTGTGCTGGCCCTATACTTGTGTGCTAGCCCTATACTTGTATGATGGCCCTATACTTGTATGATGGCCCTATACTTGTGTGCTGGCCCTATGTTTGTGTGCTGGCCCTATGTTTGTGTGCTGGCCCTATGCTTGTGTGCTGGCTCTATGTTTGTGTGCTGGTCCTATACTTGTATGCTAACCCTATGTTTGTGTGCTGGCCCTATGAATGTGTGCTGGTCCTATACTTGTGTGCGGGTCCTATACTTGTATGCTAGCCCTATGTTTGTGTGCTGGCCCTATGATTGTGTGCTGGTCCTATACTTGTGTGCTGGCCCTATGATTGTGTGCTGGCCCTATGATTGTGTGCTGGCTCTATGTTTGTGTGCTGGTCCTATACTTGTGTGCTGGCCCTACAATTGTGTGCTGGCCCTATGCTTGTGTGATGGCCGTATGATTGTTTAGCCTTTTGTTTGCGCTGAGAGGTGTTCATGCTTCCAGGTAACACTGTAATAATTGGAATTTATCTAGAACTATTTATCTTGTAAAACTTAAACCAAAATAACAAACATCTTCAAAAATTGATTTTAGGAAGCCGTTTTGATGACATGCGTGAGCTTGAGGATGGTGGTCATCTGAAGGGGTGCGATCATACTGAGGAGATGTTTGGTCAACTCGGGGACAGTGGTCAGCCTGGGGATGAAAGTCTTTGTCAGGATAGATGTCCTTCTGAGGACAGTGCTCTGGGTGCCCTACCATTTGAAGACGCAGCAGAGGATCATGTCGATGTGGTTGATGGTGTGGAAACAACAGAGCAGAGCAGGAGGCTTGCCCTCGCCAAGTCAATGGCTGAGCACCTGACACAAGCCTGCCTACTGGCTGGTTCCCGTAGTAACGTAACAGTCATGGTGGTCCTGCTGCCAGGTTGTGGTCCTGTGTGATCAGCCTGATGTTTACGATGTGAGGGTTGGGACAGAGGGGTCGGTCCGTAAGTTGTGGAGTTGCTGTGTTATTATTTGTTTAACTGGAGCAATTTGCATTGTTTTATTATTTGTTTAACTTGAACAATTTGCATTGTTTTATTATTTGTTTAACTGGAAAAATTTTCATTGTTTTATTATTTGTTTAACTTGAACAATTTTCATTGTTTTTCTAATGTTTTGTTTCCACTGTACAATCATAGTGTTTTTGTGCGGTGTTCTTCTGTTGCAGGCCTGCACAACATATGGCCCACGGGCCGCATGGTCCCCGCAAGCACCCACTTTGGGGCCAGGGAAGTAACAATATTTTTTTTTTCTTATTATTTCCTAATAGCTTTCCCCCTGTCCTATTTTCTTTTGGCCCGCACAAGTTTGTCAAAAAGTATTACTGTTTGAGTTGTGCAGGCGTGTACTATTGCAATCATAACATAATTTCAGTAGCAATGTATTGCTAAGAGTCAAATCCAAGATTTGAAATAGACAAAATATACAACAAAGCTTAAATGAGTTAATTTACGTAATAGTTCAAGTTTATAAGAAAAGATTTCTTTAATATTACTGATTGTAAAGTTAAAGCTTCTGCCATTTGTCTTACATTGCCTGCTTATTATGTTTAAATAAAAAACAAAAACAATTTGTTAACCTTTTACTTTTAATGCCCAAATAATGAAAAAAAAAAAGAAGAAAAAAGTGAATTTTAAAAAAATGTGAATGTCCTTCAATGTGAGGGTGAACAATATTTTATAGACAATTTTGATGTTGTATAAGCCATTGTTTTTTTTTTGTTTCCTCTGTTTGTCTGTTTGTAATATTATTGTTCAATATCTCTCAATCAATTTAAAACTTTTTATTATTAAAGGCTATGATGGTGGTATTTTTATGCGGAATGATCAGGGGGAAGTAACTGTAAATGATTTATTCACCGAGAAGTAAAATTACCAGTTCTCTTCCTTGGTTGCTTCTGTTAAATTGGGAAAGTACTAAACCAACTATATGATAAAACTGTACTAAACCAACTATGCGATATAACAGTACCACTCCCACACTGTCTATAATAGTACTGTAGCCACTCTGTGATAAAACAGTACTAAAACATCACTCTGTGATATAACCGTACTACTACCACACTGTCTATAACAGTACTGCCGCCACTCTGTGATGTAACAGTACTGTAGCCACTCTGTGATATAACAGTGCTAAAACATCACTCTGAGATAACAGTACTACTATCACACTGTCTATAACGGTACTGCCGCCACTCTGTGATATAACCGTACTACCACCACACCGTCCATAACAGTACTGCCGCCACTATGTGATAAAACATTACTAAACCCATCACTCTGAGATAAAAGTACTACTCCCACATTGTCTATAAGTAAAAAAAGTTAAGTTATGAATGTTTAACTTATTTTCGCGTTGCAGCAATGAGAAGCCTACTGAGCTTCAGTATGACCTGCTGGTATGGGAATTCATCATCTGGCATCAAACATAGATTAAATAGATTAGTCAAGAAAGCTGGTAACAGCGCAGAAACTAAACATCCTTCACCTGAAGAACTCTTGGGGGGTGGGGGGTAGGGTAAGGGATGCTGTTTTAAAACAAAGAAACAAAAATTTGGTTGTATGCATCACACAAACTTCATCACAGATACCTAAGATCAGATCGATCATGGCGAATTCTTCCTCTTAAAGTTCGGACAGAAAGGTATACAAATTCTTTTGTTCCCCGGTCTTTACGAATTTACCCGCGTGCCGCCCCCCCCCCCCCGGCCACCCCTAGGTGTCACTAATTAAGTCATTATTTTCATTAAAGTAGTTCACTGATGACTGTTTTTTCTACGCAAGAGAAATAATTTAGATGTCCTGTGTTTCAATTGTTATATCGTAGGATGTTGTCATAGTTAAAAGATGTATTTACTTATCATAATTCATGTGCTGAAAATGAATGTGTACAATGTAATAAAAAAAAATTCAATTTATCAGGAGCAATAAAGATTCTTAGCGTATCTGAAATCGGGGGGTCCACTATTCTAGTGGTTCTTAATCTGGGATCCGTGTACCGTACCCCGTTTTTTTTTTTTTTTTGGAAAAGGAAGAAGGAAAATGTGAGAGGCACCGTTCTTCCATTATTTTGGTTGTGTTTGACACTTCTGTGTATGTGTGTTCTCGTAATATTTAAAAATAAAATTGTTGATTAAACTAACCTATACTAGATGGTTACCACAGGGTGCATGGTACTAAAAACAGCTTGAGTTTCCTGCACTGAACACACAGCCAAGGGAAGTAAACGTATAGAAGTTTGCTGTGCGCAAACGGGGGGCAAATTAAATAAGAGTTAAAAGAGAGAATGCTGGGGAAAAAGTAAAAGCTTTCATCCATGTCGCGGACCCCCCGGGGGGGTTACACTCAGCCATGCACCTCACTCCGCCCCAGTGCGCGCCCCCAACACCCCCAAATACTTTAAGTGATATAAACGGACCAGTCGGTCCTTTTCAGAACATTTTACGCTTCTTACCCCCATTTATTATCGCTTCTCTGTCTGTGTGGGAACAAAACAAAGCAGTTTTCTTTCACGGTTTCATCCCCATCATGCACCCCATTCTGTGTAAGGCTAGCTTTCTCTGACTGCACCATCATCCCCATGCACCCCATTCTGTGTAAGGCTAGCTTTCTCTGACTGCACCATCATCCCCATGCACCCCATTCTGTGTAAGGCTAGCTTTCTCTGACTGCACCATCATCCCCATGCACCCCATTCTGTGTAAGGCTAGCTTTCTCTGACTGCACCATCATCCCCATGCACCCCATTCTGTGTAAGGCTAGCTTTCTCTGACTGCACCATCATCCCCATGCACCCCATTCTGTGTAAGGCTAGCTTTCTCTGACTGCACCATCATCCCCATGCACCCCATTCTGTGTAAGGCTAGCTTTCTCTGACTGCACCATCATCCCCATGCACCCCATTCTGTGTAAAGCTAGCTTTCTCTGACTGCACCATCATCCCCATGCACCCCATTCTGTGTAAGGCTAGCTTTCTCTGACGGAACCATCACCCCCATCATGCACCCCATTGTGTAAGGCTAGCTTTCTCTGACGGCACCACCATCCCCAAGCACCACATTTTGTGTAAGGCTAGCTTTCTTTCCAAACACTTTCCCCTTTCACACCCTACACCCCATGTAATGGATAATTTCACTCAAGTATCGACATGTAATACAGTGGCGTAGCAAGGGTTAGTACCGCCAAGGGTTGGCACAGATTTTTGCCGCGGAACCTAGAAAAAAAACAACAAAAAAACCCTCTTAAAATTGGTCCAAAACGTCACCTCTTTATGTAAAGAAAAAAAGACGTTGCAATGGCGTGTGAGCTCGGAGTAGATCTGATCCTGTCTCAACCCCTGATTGTCACGGGTTGTCACCGATTTTCACTGGTTGTCCCAAAATTCTTCTCCTTTTTTTTTTCTTTCTTTTTTTTTTTTTTTTTTTTTTTTTTTTTTTTTTTTTTTTTTTTTTTTTTTTTTTCTTTCTTTTTTTTTTTTTCTTGTCCAAAGCCACCGGCAAGCACCTTTTGTGCCAGAGTTGATGCCCGTGCCTTCCTCACCCCTCCCCGCTTGTTGACAACACCATCTACCCACAGGTACCCCGCAGCGCCTTTCACTCAATGAATCCGGGTGAGAAAATTGGCCCTAATTATCTCCCCGCACCACGCAGACGATGGGACAGGTTGGCCCTGGGAGGGACAACGATTAGGGGAAATCTTGTGGTTTGTTGGGGCAGAAATGCCCTGGGAGGGACAGCGATTAGGGAAAGATCTTGTGGTTTGTTGGGGCAGAGATGCCCTGGGAGGGACAGCGATTAGGGGAAATCTTGTGGTTTGTTGGGGCAGAAATGCCCTGGGAGGGACAGCGATTAGGGAAAGATCTTGTGGTTTGTTGGGGCAGAGATGCCCTGGGAGGGACAGCGATTAGGGGAAATCTAGTGGTTTTGTTGGGGCAAGAGATGCCCTAGGAGGGAAAACGATAAGGGGAAATCTTGTGGTTGGTTGGGGCAGAGATGCCCTGGGAGGGACAGCGATTAGGGGAAATCTAGTGTTTTGTTGGGACAGGGATGACCAGAGAGGGAAAACGATAAGGGAAAATCTTGTGGTTTGTTGGGTCAGAGATGACCAGAGAGGGAAAACGATAAGGGAAAATCTTGGGGTTTGTTGGGGCAGGGATGACCAGTGAGGGAAAACGATAGGGGAAAATCTTGTGGTTTGTTGGGGCAGAGATGACCAGAGAGGGAAAACGCTAAGGGAAAATCTTGTGGTTTGTTGGGTCAGAGATGACCAGAGAGGGAAAACGCTAAGGGAAAATCTTGTGGTTTGTTGGGGCAGGGATGACCAGAGAGGGAAAACGATAAGGGAAAATCTTGTGGTTTGTTGGGGCAGAGATGACCAGAGAGGGAAAACGATAAGGGAAAATCTTGCGGTTTGTTGGGGCAGAGATGAAATAACATTGAATAGCATTTAGTCCAAATGGCCCCGGACACGCACCTCCGCCATTCGCACCCGCGTCCCATTAGACTCATACTATTCGGATGTCCTTTGTGTCCATTCCATTCCATGTATCTTTCATTTGACTACCTCATTTTGTCTCACAAACCCAGCAATAATATTTTGAATCGTTTTTTTTTTTTTAATCCCAACCTCTCACTTCTGGTACCCGGATGCGAATAGCAACTTCGATCATGCTAAGCCCAGTTTTGAAATCATGTGATCGATTTAAGAATTATGCTATTTCTAGAAACATGCACGCTACTCTAAGAGATGTTACACCTCCATCATCATTCGTTCATCCCATCAATACTTTCAGTGTAGCTCCTTTGTTTGTCCTTTCTTTCCAGGCCTCCCTCACACCCTCATTTCTTTTCTTCGGTCCCCCCCCCCACGTGCAATGTGTTCCCTTCATCCCCCAACCCTTGCATATATTTCCTTTTACTTAATACCAACTGACCAGTGACCGGGACTGTTGAAGGGCCCTCTGCCAGGTTGTGCAGCAAATCTAGTGACTACTTTTGTACATCATGTGTACTGTCTATTATTGTGCATCATGTGTAGGCCTACTGTCTATAATTGTACATTGCATGTGTAGGCCTACTGTCTATTATCGTGCATCATGTGTAGGCCTACTTTCTATTATTGTACATTGCATGTGTAGGCCTACTGTCTATTATCGTACATCATGTGTAGGTCTAATGTCTATTATTGTACATCATGTGTAGGTGTACTGTCTATTATTGTACATTGAATGTGTAGGCCTAGTGTCTCTTATCGTGCATCATGTGTAGGTCTAGTCTATTATTATACATCATGTGTAGGTCTACTGTCTATTATTGTACATTGCATGTGTAGGTCTACTGTCTATTATCGTGCATCATGTGTAGGCCTACTGTCTATTATTGTACATCATGTGTAGCCTACTGTCTATTATTGTACATTGCATGTGTACGCCTACTGTCTATTATTGTACATCATGTGTAGGCCTACTGTCTATTATCGTGCATCATGTGTAGGCCTACTGTCTATTATTGTACATTGCATGT